AAAAAAAAAAAGAGGAACAAAAAAGGAGCAACAAAGGTGTAGGGCGGTAACAATGGCACAGCACAGAACAAAAACACACGCACAAACATGCATACATACATACACAACAGATGAAAAGAAGAAGGGGTACAAGAGAAAATCGATTACATCAGTGAAAGAAGGAGAAAAAAGAACAGAGAGATAACGAGTCAGACAGTAAAGAAGAGAAACACCTCCTCTCTATCCTATCCTACTTTCTTTCTCTCTTCTTCTTTCTCTCTCTCTCAATCCCCTCCGCGGCTAACGTCCGGCTATGACCTTGCTGCCGTTCTCCTAACAAATGCTGTTCTCCTCCTGAGCTCTATAATAAACGGACGCCTGAGCACAAAATCATTCTCTCAGTCCCTAACCCCGGAAAAAAAAAGATTTGTCATAAAACGAAGGAAAAACAAAAAGCACAAACAGGCGAAGAGAATCGGGGTCGGATGTCCTATTTCTTGCTGTCCTCACATGCCCTCCCCAGACCACAACACTGCTGCTGTCGTTGCTACTGCACCCCCATGTATCCCATTTAGTATTGCTCCTCCTCATCGAACTCACCCTCCTCCTCGACGGTGGCGTCCTGGTACTGCTGGTACTCAGACACGAGATCGTTCATGTTGGACTCTGCCTCAGTGAACTCCATCTCGTCCATGCCCTCACCCGTGTACCAGTGCAAGAACGCCTTGCGACGGAACATGGCAGTGAACTGCTCGCCAACGCGACGGAACATCTCCTGGATGCAGGTGTTGTTGCCGATGAAGGTGACAGCCATCTTGAGACCCTTGGGAGGGATGTCGCAGATGGAGGACTTGATGTTGTTGGGAATCCACTCGATGAAGTAGGACGAGTTCTTGTTCTGCACGTTCAGCATCTGCTCGTCCACCTCCTTCGTTGACATGCGACCGCGGAAGAGCGCGGAGGCTGTCAGGTAGCGGCCGTGGCGTGGGTCGGCAGCCTGCATCATGTTCTTGGCATCGAACATCTGCTGCGTCAGCTCGGGCACTGAGAGACCGCGGTACTGCTGTGAGCCGCGGCTTGTGAGCGGAGCGAAGCCCATCATGAAGAAGTGCAGACGTGGGAAGGGGACCAGGTTCACCGCCAGCTTGCGCAGGTCGGAGTTGAGCTGACCAGGGAAGCGCAGGCAGCACGTCACACCGGACATCACAGCGGACACCAAATGGTTCAAGTCACCAAATGTCGGTGTCGTCAGCTTGAGTGTACGGAAGCAAATATCGTACAAAGCCTCGTTATCAATGCACATGGATTCGTCCGAGTTCTCCACCAGCTGGTGCACAGACAGCGTCGTGTTGTATGGCTCGACGACCGTGTCGGACACCTTGGGGGATGGGATGATGGAGAAGGTCATCATGATGCGGTCTGGGTACTCCTCGCGCAGCTTCGAGATGAGCAACGTTCCCATACCAGAGCCCGTACCACCACCGAGGGAGTGGGCAATCTGGAAGCCTTGCAGGCAGTCGCAGCTCTCCGCCTCCTTGCGGCAGACGTCCAGCACAGAGTCGATGAGCTCCGCACCCTCGGTGTAGTGACCCTTGGCCCAGTTGTTACCGGCGCCAGACTGTCCGAAGATGAAGTTGTCCGGGCGGAAGATCTGGCCATAAGGACCAGCGCGCACGGAGTCCATTGTACCGGGCTCCAGGTCAATGAGCACAGCGCGGGGCACGTAGCGGCCGCCGGTTGCCTCATCAAAGTACACGTTAATACGCTCCAGCTGAAGGTCAGAGTCACCCTGGTACGTGCCTGTTGGGTCAACGCCGTGCTCGTCGCTGATCACCTCCCAGAACTTTGAACCGATCTGGTTACCGCACTGGCCGGCCTGAACACACACAATCTCGCGCATTTCTCTTCAACTGTTATTCAGTAATTGTTGTTCGATTGAATCTCTTCTTGAGGTTCTTCTATTCTGTTTTTTTCTTTCACGGTATAGTTATGGCGCATGCGATGACAGCACGACACACATGAGCGGTCAAAGCAAACACAAACAAAGGGGAGAGAAAGAAATAGAAAGAGAAGAAAAAAAAAAGAGAGAGAAAAAAAAAAAAAACAGTCATGAGTATCGTGGTAACAATGGCACAGCAAAAGGAGAGCAAAATAATAATATTTGATAACATTCGTGATTGTGGTTGATGTCACTCTTTTGCATTTGGTTTTGTTGTGTGTGTGGTTTTTTTTTTTTTTTAGGGGAGGGGGAATGCACATGATTTTTTTTATGTTTTTGTTACAATTCATCTAGAAGAAAATACAGTAGGTACTCCGTTTCTGTGAGTTGGAATGTCATGAGTCCTTTTAGCTATAGATGGTAGATAAAGTGGTGAAAATATCATTATTATGACATAAGGATATTCGTTAAAGAGACGCAACAAACCGTATTGTGCATATCTCATATAAACTGCAGAAGATAATCTCGTACGCCACACTATGGTACATTTTGCAATTGCAGATTTCTTTCGCTTTAACTAATTTTGTTGGTAAAAAAGGTATTGAGGTTGAATCCATTAATATATATATATATATATATATATATATATATATATAAGTAGAAGAGAAGCCGCGTGGAGGCTTCCTATAGATTTCTTGTAATGCATACGTCTCCTTCGTATCATTTAATATACTTTTTTTTTTCTGTTTTAAATACTTTACTTTCTTCATACTTATATTGGTATAGCTCTAAAACGCAAGTCAAACCCATCGGTAACGAGACCCTCTAGAAAAGGTTCAGTTTTAAGGGGTGCTATAGTTAATTCTACGATAAGCAATCCACTGGGCATTTCTCGCCACATCTTTGCTTTCCCCAGCGCTTTAATGACATTGTAAGGGCCAAAGTAACCAGTAACAATCATGTTGTACTCTCTTGTATCGTTGTAGAAATACCATTCTCGTTTGGTTCTGTCCACAATACGATATAGCAATCCAGGTGGGACGATAGTCTTTCCACTGGTGTCAACTGTACTGAAACACCCAATTATTTCGTCTCCCAACACCTTTGGACGTCCATTGCGGTAACCAACACGATTGTTCTTTGTGGGATCTGATGAAGGATTTTTTGATGCCCCACTACCCATATTTGTTAATTGTTGCTGTTTTTTTTTTTTTTTTTACTGTTTGTTTGTTTGTTTGTTTTTTGCTGTATTATCGCCTCTAGTTCTTTTTGTGATAACTGTTAATACGACGATGTGTGACGTAGTCAACCAGAGTCTTTGCCTTGCGTGTAGTCAAGTGTCTTGTCAAAGTCCCTTTCTTTTCTTTTCTTGTTCGCTACATTACTCATTGATTGTATAAAATGTCATTAACAGAAGTGGAAAAATAAAGAAGAACAAAAATACACATGTCCATGTTAAATATATTTATATATATACGAATAGAACGGCAAGAAAACATAAACAAAAGAAAACAATATTTGCAAAACGAAAAAATAAGAATGCGTTAAGCCCTTCAACTTGTACATACTTTTATTCTCTTGTTTTTTTTCTTTTCATTTTCCTCCATTCATACACAGAATCTTCCCGTTTTCTTTTTTTGTGTGTGTTTGTTTGTTTGTTTACTGGAATATGTGCTTCCTGCATTCAGTATACTCTCCTTATTCCTTCAAAAGGAAAAAAGGAGGAAAAAAAAAAGAAAAAACGAGAGTTTTTGTTCATCATATCCTATTACTCTGATTTAACATAGCAACACATTAAAACAATCTACGATAGACGAAATCGCTGTGAACTTACAAAGTCATCGGCCTTTTAGGGCTCCAGCACCTACAGACCTTTTCCTCTTTGAGAAGGGGCAAATGAAGAGTGGGTAAAATAACATAAAAAAGAATAATAATACACTCACTAAATCTAATGCGGTATCCCCGGATAGATTTAAAGGGCAAAACAAAAAAAAAAATATATATATATATATATATATATATAGCCATTCTTCAGAAAAAAAAATAAAAATAAATAAACAAAAAATGCCGGTGTAGTCAAAACCCCAACATCACCACCACGCACACACACCTTTATTGGTGGGGTGAAAGTGGGGGGGAGGGAAACAAAGACGTTAGTAATAATAGATAGCAAATAAGAATAACCCTTAAGAGAGTACCAAACAAATGTGAAATTACAAATAAAACGTCTTGATGTAATCCCACCAATCATGCCCTGGATCTCCACGACGCCAGGCGGTAAAACAGGTATCGGGATGTGTGATAACAGCCGTTAAACCACTTCGTGTTATTTCCTCTCCAGTGGTGCCATCCACTACAATAAGTCGTGGTAGTGGAGTTAATGGTCTAATCATAAGTCCAGCATCTCTCGCCAACCATGTTGCCCCATTGCGATGGGTACAATGAAAGAAACCATGTTGCCGTGTAATATCTATCATCTCTTTACCTCCCATGGATATAGCCACAACTACAAAGTCTTGTCGATGCTGTTGGTGAAGCTTTTGCAGTTTCCTCATAAACACCAGTGAACGTTCGGACTCTGTAAAGAAAAGTAAACCAACTAAACGTCCTCTTAGCAATTCCCTATCACAATGTTGACCAGATGGACCACTAATCTCTGTAATATTTTTAAGATAATCATTAAGAATCTCTTCATGAGCAAAAGGGGTAATACGGCTATCCATTGTCTTAAGCTCTTCACGTAGTGCGGCTTTCTGTGTGGATCCATCCCCACCGTACACCCTACTATCTGGATCCTTTGGTTTAAAGGTTGCATCCATCGTCATGTGGAATAACTTTGTAAGAGTCATCTGCTGACGATCAATCATGGAAAAGTCATCTACACCAAACGCACGTTTCACTTCAGAGGATGGGGCTGCCCCTAATGGTGGTGTTCGTGTGTTAGTGTGTCTATGTGCTTGTGGGTTTGTTTGCCCATCTGTCTGTGTATATGAGTGTGTATTGGTTTGGACGAGTTGCTGCAGTGTTGGGGTTGTCCAGCCGCCCGGGCCCCGTCGAGAAGTGCGCCGCAGTAAAGATGATACTCGCATTTGATAAAAAAAAAAAAACTTTTTTTTTTTTTTAGAATCAACTAACAACTTGTGGAAATAATATGTGAGAGGGAAGTTATCAGCGTTAACCCTTTTTTATTGTCAGGAATAGAAGGGCAGGGGAAAGAAAAAAAAAGAGAAAGAATCAAAGAAAAGAGTTGGATAGGTGAAAAAAAAAGAAGAAAAAGAAAGAAACAATATGGAGCAAGTGTAGACCCCTCGGCCATGTGAAGGTGAATGGAGGTGGAAGGGTATGGAGGCATGCAGTGTCAAAAAGAGAGAAAATAAACATATATATATATATATATATATATATATATATAAGATATATAAATATATATTCATTATAAGAATAACAAGAACAACAACAAAAAGGAAAGTATATAAGATTTTTTTTTAAAGGAAAATAACATTGACCCGTGTAATGAAAAGAAAAAGAAAAATGAGGCCCATTGAATTCCAGAAAAATGTTAGAGGAGGGAAAAATCCCCTATGATTATGATAAAACAATACCACAGCCTCCTCCTTCACTTATCAAACATATACGTACAATAAGAGGGAAGGAGGGGAACTATAGAAACTGTAACTATATGTATATATATACCCTTTCCTTTCATTATTATTCCCTATTTTCGCTTTCTCCTAATAATAATAGTATAATAATGAACCGAAAGGGGGGGTCACTCCGGTGATTCCTTTAATTTAACCTTCTCTCCTTTCTCCTCTTTTTACTTTTCCATTAGTTCTCCCATCCTTTTCACTCCATCTTCTTAAAAGAAACTCCCACTCCTCACTTCTCCCTTTTTTTATTTTATCTCTCTCTCTCTCTCTCTCTCTCTCTCTCTCTCCTTTCTTTATTTCCTTCTTTTCTTACACACATCCTTCGTAGAGGACAGTTTTCAGTTAAGGGGTTGAAAGAACCCAAAACGAAACAAAAAAGAGAGAGTGCAGCTACAAACAGAATCGAATTAAACGGCCTTTTATGGTACCTGTTGAAAGCAAAGAGAAACAAAAAAAAAAAAGAAGAATCAACCTCGTCTGCAAACCATATTATTTAAAAAGATATATATATATATATATGGACGGGGCTCCTTATATAAATAATAATAATAATAATAAAGAAACATATACGCATTACAACACATATTAGGCACCACACACACACACACACGCCCATTTTCAATCACCCGCGGGAAAGAAGAATGTGTCTTCCCATGAATGTAAGCAAATATATTAAAATAAAGCGATGTATAGATATGTACATCACACCAGTATAGCAAGTCCAAAGGCAAGAAAAAAAAGGGAAAAAAAAACCATTTTTTCTTGCAGAAAGCAAGCAAATAAAAAAAAAGCAAAAAAAAAAAAAAAAATCGATGCATACACACAGATGTAAACGTATACTTTCAATCCACTCCTTTTTTTTCTTTTCTTACTTTATATTCTTACCTCCTACGCTCTTCTTGACGGCGCCTGTACTCTTCTGAGAGGGGAAGTGCATCCATCTTCACTTTAAACCCATTCACACGTCCCTCAATAAACATCTCCGTCTCACGTGGATACACAACGACGGTGGCCACATATTCACCAGAGTCCAATCGCTCCAAATGTGTTTTGCCAAGCGCCTTAATATCACAATCTTCACCAAAAGTTACCTTTACATGCATTTCATATTGAGTGGTATCGTTATAGTACGCCCATTGCTTCTTCTTTCTGTTTACAATGCGGAAGAGAAGACCATTGCCTTCGTTAAACCCCTTTACAACCTCATCACCCTTAAAGGTTGGTTTACCGTTCTTGTATTCAATCGCAGGAGCACTCGAGGAAGCACCGCAGCCCATATTGACGTAGAGAACGAGTAATTATATGCGTATTTATATACTTTTATACTTATTTATTTATATATATATGGGGTTGTGGATTTCAATAATAGATGGATGGTTTAATAAAAAGGTACTAAATACAAGAAGAAAAAGAAACAAAAACGACCTTGTGGTAGTTGTTTTCCTTTCTATAGCGTCAAAATCTACGATTTTTACAAGTTAATAGGAACGAAAAGAAAAGAAAAAACATACATATACATACATATATATATATATATTTAAAGAGATAGATAGAGAAGGCCAAACCAAAGACCCCATCACACACAGTAAAGGGTTGCATGCCTAAACAACAATAGGAGACATGCACAGCAGAGGTCATAACTTGGGGTAAAAGAAAAAAAAATAAAATAAAATAAATATAAATAAATATATATCGGAACCAATACACACAAAGTTGATTGGGACTCCGGAAGAATCATTTCTAAAGATCATAATAATGACACACACAGACACAGACATAAATACAAAAAAAAAAGAAAAAAAAACAATTTGAAAATAAAAAATGGAAAGAATGGGAAAACGCAGGACATTGCACAAGGTTGAGGTGGACTGGGTCAAGTTTGTGCGTAGATATACAAAAAAAAAGGTATATACCAGTACCGTAGAGACTTCGTTACACAGGTCCCTAGTTCCCTTCGTTTTATTATTTTCTTTTGTTTTTGTTTTTCTCATTCTTCTTCTTCTTTTCTTCTCATCCCCTTTTCTTTCCTTTACATTCTCTCGGATTATTTCACTTTCTTTTACTTCTACGCCCTTTCCTTCCCCTCCCTTGCTCTCTCTCTCTCTCTCACTCACGTTATCTTCAGTCTCTTTTCTAGTTTCGAGAAAAAAGAGGGGAGAGGGGAAGAAAGGGCTCATGATAGATGAAGAAAAAAAAAAATAATAATAATCATAAACAATAATCATTGAGAAAGAAAGAGACGTTTCTTTGTCTTGTTCATTTATCCTTCACTCACTCTAACAATTGCGTTTTATTTCTTTTTCTTTTTGTTTTTCTTTTCTTCTTTTTATTTTTTTTACCCCTTTTGTTTTTTTTTTCTTTTTCTGCTTTCGTCCTTTCTTCCTCTCTCTCTGCTCGTTCCTTTCTTTTTCTTTCTTTCTTTCTAGTTTTTCTTCTTTTTTTTGCGTTGCGCTTGTTATTTTTGCCACAAGCAGACAATCTTCTAATTTGATTTTCCCCCTTTTACTAACATTTACACATATACTCACTTGCATATATATATATATATATATATATATATATATATATATATATATATATATACTCAGACAACTGTGAGTTACCTGGAATAACGTGCGTTCATTCAACACACATCCGTATATATATATATATATATATATATATATATATATATATATATATATCCCTCCACAGCACAGCAAAGAGAGTGATAATAAAAAGGTAAGAAGAATGAGAGAAAGAAAGAAAAAACATCTAAAAAAAAAAAAAAACGAACGAACGAACAAACAAACAAAGAAGAAAAAAAAAAGGAAGGAGGCATATGCCCAGAAATGGCGGATCCCTCTCACCAACCAAGACCACCAGTAGTCTATAAGCAAATAGTACTCCTCTTACTGTCACTACAATAATAATAATAACAGTAATAACAGTAAAAAGAATGAAAAAAAACAGGGGGGAAAAAAAAACAAATAAACGCAGTAGAAAAGAAACAATATTTAAAAAAAAAAAAAAAAGCATATGCCCTGAGAAACAGAGAAACACGACAACACAAAGGGCGTACAAAAATATTTAGAAAAGAGCAAAATCAAAAATACAAAAAATTAGTCATCAAAAGAAAGAAAGAAAAAAAAAAAAGAAAGTCGAATATCAACACAAGTCAATAACAATAAATCTACCAATCACATTTCCCAGTTTTGCAGGCATTTTTTTTTTTTTTCCTCTTTTTCTTCGTTCTCTGCGCCCCTTTCACTAGAAAAGGGATTCATTTTCATTGCTTTTTTTTCTTCTCTTTCTTTCCTTCCTTCCTTCCTTTTATCTTCTCCTTTGACTGTTTTCTCGGAGTCATTCCTTCTTAATTATTATTATTATTCTCATTATTATTATTCTCATTATTATTAGTATTATTATTATTTTGCTTTTCTTCCTGTCGGCGCTTGTACTCTTCTGAGAGGGGAAGTGCATCCATCTTCACTTTAAACCCATTCACACGTCCCTCAATAAACATCTCTGTTTCGCAAGGATACACAACGACGGTGGCCACATATTCACCAGAGTCCAATCGCTCCAAATGTGTTTTGCCAAGCGCCTTAATATCACAATCTTCACCAAAAGTTACCTTTACATGCATTTCATATTGAGTGGTATCGTTATAGTACGCCCATTGCTTCTTCTTCTTGTTTACAATGCGGAAAAGAAGACCATTGCCTTCGTTAAACCCCTTTACAACCTCATCACCCTTAAAGGTTGGTTTACCGTGCTTGTATTCAATCGCAGGAGCACTCGAGGAAGCACCGCAGCCCATATTGACGTAGAGAACGAGTAATTATATGCGTATTTATATACTTTTATACTTATTTATTTATATATATATGGGGTTGTGGATATAAATAATAAATAGAGAATAGTAGACGCTTTGTCTGTCTAGACCTGTGTTGCACTTCTGAAGGGAAATTATATGTAAGAGTCGTTATAATGAAGAAGTCAAGAAATAGATAGAAAAAAAGGAAAGAATAATAGTAACAGTAATAGTAGCAGTAGTAACAATAACAATAATTATTATAATAATTACAATTATTATAATATAAGAGTAATAATATTAATAATAAGAGAAGAACTAAAGCAGACGAACAATAAAAATAATAATAAAAATAATATTAATAACAAAAAAAAAGGCTTTTCTTCTAAAGAAGAAACGATTATTTCTTTCCAGGGACTACAACATAGAAACCCACTATGGAAATTCAACAAAAAAAAAGAACAGAATAATGCCAAAAAAAAAAAGAGAGGGGGTGAGGAATGATATGAAGGGACAAAAAAAGGAAAAAAATTAAATTGGAAATGCAGACTACACCCATTTCATTGGAATATGGTTATTATTGTTGTCAATCATTTGACCTTACGGTAAATAAAAGAATAATAATAATAATAATAATAATAATAATAATAATAATAATAATAATAATAATAATAATAATAATAATAATAATAATATGGGAAAAAAAAAGAGAAAAGGCAAGACCATGGTCATTATTAGAGAAAGACAAAGAAAGACAAACACATAATTTATTCATACGATGGGATCGACTGGAATCCCTTCAATAGTGACACGGTAAGCCACGAGATGGCCTGCAAACGCAAATGAAGTCTCTGCAGGGCCCACACATAATTTCGCAATGACTGTACCGTCCTGTTCCCATACAAGTGTAGTGGCCCCAAGTGGTCGTAGTTTCTCACGTGTTTGCATGGGATGCGGGCTGAAATGGAAAGTGATGAGAAAATGAATTTCCTCCGTATCATTGTAGAAGGCCCATACATCATATGCCGGTCGTGGAATGATAATTTGATAAAGTAATACAGTAGCGCCAGAGGAGGTCATTTTACTCTTTTCATCGCTGTGGTCTCTTTTCCAATAGGCCTCGGTGAGATTGGCGGAGGAGAGGGATGGGGTGATGATACCATCCACCACATTTGGTCCACCGCAGCGGTATTGTGTAGACCCCTCCGAAGTGGGTGGATTGACTATTGGATAAATGACGGGATTTGTATGTGGACCAGCACTGCGGCCGTGAAAATCATTTTCTGTGGATCGTTTACGGGATGATGATAATTTCTTCTTATTATTATTCTTATTCTTATTCTTATTATTAGTGAATGTATGAGTGTTGCTGTTGTGTTGTCTTGACGGGTTGACGTCCTTGTGTTTGGTGAGTCCACTCCCCATAAGAAAGAGGGCTGTTTGGATTGTGAGACTGTGTGTGTGTGTGTTTTTTCTTTTCTTTTCTTTTCTCTTTTTTTTTTTTTTTGTGTGTGTGGAATTGTTATTTGTTTACTTCTTTCTTGTCAGTCAAGTTAAGGGAAGTGTGGATATATAATGCGGAGGAAAGCAGAATAACAACAAGAGAAGAGAAAAAGAAAAGAAAAAAAGAATGGTATTATAAACCCCTTACTCCCAGAATCAAAAAAAAACGCAAAAAAGAATCAAAAACAAACCATCTCATCATAAATATATAACAAAGAAGAATACTTGTTTTTTTTTTTTTCTTTTTACTCGTTGGTTTGTCTTGTTTGTTTGATTTCTCGTTCCTCTTTACGTTCCCTCTATTTTACAGGGACAGGGCCAGCAGGACACATGTATATATATATATAGATAAGGGCGAGTGTAAGGATAAGTGCATGTACAAAGACATGAGGAACTTCAACTGGAAAGAATAAACGCACCAAACACTTGTCAATATTGATAAGAGGAATACTACTAATAGTAATAATAATATTAGTAGTACTAGTAGTAGGAAATAAGGATCAGTGTACTGTATTTCCTATCCCACCCACCCTCCCTCTCATTGATATTGTTTGTTTTCTTGTTTGTTTTTTCCTTCCTTCTCTTGTTTTTTTTTTTTTCTTTCGTTCATGTTTTTTTTATTCTTCTCACTACAATAATGGTAATAACAACAAAAAAAGAAAATAACTCCAAATTCGTAAACTTTCATTCTCTCATCCCCTTTTTCTTTCTTCCTTTCATGTATATATATATATATATATATACTTCTTTTCCTCTTCTTTATTAGGGCCAGCTCCACTCCTGTGCTCTGCACACATCACTTCCTCATATCCCCCACTTCACGTGGCTTTTTTTTTTTTTTTTCCAAAAGGAATCACATCTAATATTTCTGCCAAAAGAAAAAAAAGAGAAAAAAAAATATAATAATAAAAGGTTCACCAGTATTAAATAACGAATGACAAAAAAAAAAAAAGAAGAACAGAAAAAAAACAAAAAAAGTATCTCATGTTTCCGTTAGTCCACACGTAAAATAAATAACGTGAAAACAAACCTCACACATAGACGTTGTTATTTTTTTTTTTTTCCTCCTTTCCAATAACTTACTCTGTTCTTGTCTTCTGTGCTGCTGGATCACTTTTCTCTGTTGTTGTCTCTGTCTTCTTTCCCTTTGTGTAGGCGTTGATGGGATCCATCCATACATCCTCGACTAACAACATTAACAATTCCTTGCGGTCATCCATCTCTGTCTCCCACTTCTCCACAGCCTCTTCAAATTCCTCATCATCATCTTCTTCATCCTCATCATTGTCGAAGGCCTCATCATCGGCGGGGTGTGGAAGCATCTTGCTGAAGACATCGAGGAAACTCCATCCACGTGTTGGCATTTCACCGTCAGATGTACGAGGACGCTTTCTCTCCTTCTCATTACTATTGTTATTATTATTATTGTTGTTATTATTATTATCTTCATCATCATCATCTTCCATCTCTGGACCATGACCGGGCTTCCATGTAATACCAGAGAAGTTACAATTGTAGTCCCCATCATCTTCTTCATCCTCTTCTTCTTCATCCTTATTATTATTATTATTATTATTATTATTATTATTAGTTTCCTCCTCCTTCTTCTCACAACCACAGTCGTTTCCATGACTATGGCACTTCACCGTTCCATGTTGCTGTTCCTCTCCCCACAGTTCCGTCTCTTCAAAGAATGGATTCGGTTTAAACTGCAGTGCCACCCGCACACCTGTCGGTGTGTAGACCACCTTCATATCCTCCAAATACTCCCGCAGCAGATGAGCATCATATGGACCAAGCAGCCGATCGCTATCATTATTATTATCATTATTATTATTATTATTATTATTATTATTATTATTATTATTATTATTATCGGCTGTTCCTGCCTCTGGAGTGTTGAGGACGGCGATGATGGCGTCTGCCCAAAAGGTGCGGGGGAGTTTTCCATTGCGAATGGCCTCCGTGATGACGGCATGGCGGGCGGTGTAGTGACTGTTCTTCTTCACATTTCCATCAGCGAAGAGTTTCGTGACGCTCTCGTACAATTCCCGCTGGAGCACATCAATCTGCGACTGCAGCGCCCGAGCCGGACTGTCCGCCGCAACTGCTGTGCCCGTCATTATATATATATATAGATAGATAATGGGTTGTTTGGTTGGTTTAGGTTTCTTTTTTCTTTTTTTCTCAATTAGTATTAATGATTAGGGACTTTCTGTCTCTTGTCCTTTTTCGTATTATCCTCCTGCTCGTACGACCTATTATAAGAAGAAAAAAGAAGAAAAGAGAATACAAATAGTAATGATGAAAGAAAAGAAAAGAATGAAGATACACTCAGAGAATCCATATATATATATATATATATATATATATATATATATATATATACGCAAAAGAGAAGATATGTTAACAACGAAACACGACAGAACAAAAAAAAAGAAAAAAACAGGAGCAGAATTAAACAGATAAATACAGAATATATATATATATATATATATATATATATATATATATATACGCAAAAGAGAAGATATGTTAACAACGAAACACGACAGAACAAAAAAAAAGAAAAAAACAGGAGCAGAATTAAACAGATAAATACAAGAAATAAATAAAAGAAGAGAGAGAAAAACAAACAAAAAAAAACAAGAGAAAGAAAAGGAAGTGTGGGTGTCATCAGTCACCTACAATAGAGTCTTGGTGACAAATAGAAAAGACGATAAACTCTACCGGTCTTCGCTGCACATACATCCATGCACTGACAGACAAGAAGAAAAATAAGTAGAAGAAGAAAGTAAAATAAAGAAAAAAACGAATTCAGTTTAATAAAAAAAAAAGAAAGAAAATAAAGAAAATAGTGATATAGTCCATTAGCACTCTAACACAAGAGAGTGTATTGGCGGTGTTGTGCTTATTATTTACTAATAAAAAGTTTGTTATTCCTCTATGTGTTTACTTTCATATCATCTCTCTCCAACTATACTAGAGGATATGAGAAGAGTACACACAAAGAGAAAGAGAAACACAAACACAAACACACAGATAAAGAACATTTACAACAAGTAGTAGGAAAAAGAAAACAAAAAAAAACAATGAAAATCATTCATTAAATTTAAAAATATATATATATATTCATTGCCTTTTTTTTTCTTTTTTAAGGGTCTTTTCTCCTTTCCTACTCCCATAGAACTATATGCGCACATCACAAACCTTTATTCTTTTTCTTTCTTTCTTTACTATCATCCATTTATTTAATTTTCGTCTTTTCTTCTTCTTCTTGATTCTCCTCCTCATCTATTCCCCTTTCCTTTTATATATCCGCTTTCTTTCCATTATATATATATATATATATGGTCTCAACCCCATTGTACGCGGCTGCAGAAAGAAAGAAAGAAAGAAGTCATCTGTATGCTAACACACACGCACATACACTTACTGTATTCACACACCATTACTGCCTACATCCTCAGTCTCTTCTTTATACTCACACACTCACACAGAGATAGAGAGAGAGAGAGGGATAAAGATAGAGATAGATACATACCAACATACACACATACATATAGCGAGAAAAGAGGAAGAGGAAAAGGAAAAAAAAATTGTATATGCATACGCATGGTAGTAAAGAGGAAACAAAAAAGAAAAAAGAAAGAACACAAGATCCATGCAGTACAGAGATATATATACACACACACTTCCTTTTCTCTTTTAACGTCAAAATCAGAGACGGGAACAATGACAAGAGGGAATCAAGATCGAAAACTGCAGGAACCCTGCAAATAAGAGAAAAACAGAAGTAAAAGTGCATCACAAGCAGCGATCACATATAAATACATATAGCTATAGAAGCATCTCTGTCATCCTCAATCAGAAATAACATGAGGGAGACTATGGGGAAGTTGAGGCAATAATAATAATAATAATAATAATATCTTTTAAGAAAAAAAAAAATACACATTCGAGTCCTCTTCAGCAAATAAGAAAAGGAAAAAAGGAAACACATGATCTTTTTTTGCTTGTATTTCCCCAGCCAAAACAAGAATAAGGTTTTATTTTTCTCGAACAAAAAAAAAAGAACTTGACTTCCTCTATTTTTTGTCCTCGTCCTCGCTCCCTTTCTCTCTATATATATATCTATACAAATACATATATACATATACGCATTGGATAGATATAAACTGGCATAGGTGTGAGTATGCAAGAGATAAAGAAAGAAAAATATCAGATGAGCGTCATCACCATTAAGAAAACATAATAATAATAATAATAATAATAATAATAATAAGTCAAAAACAACAACAACAACATCCACCTTTAATTTCTTTTCCTTCTTTTTTTTTCTCTTCTTCTTCTTCTTCTTCCTCTTTATTGACGTGGTACTACTGGTTCATCCAATTCATCATTCTCCACCTGTTCTCCGCCACTCTTTTCCTGTTTTCGCATTTCCTTCTCCACCTTCTTCTGCTTCTGTCGTTGTTTCTTATACTCGTCTGTGAGTCCCACCGCCTGGTACTCCGCGTCGAAGCCGTCAATGTGTCCCTGCACAAACGGCTCCGTCGTGCATGGATAGACCACCACCTTCGCGACGGTGCGGCCGGTCTGTGGATCCGTCACCAGCGTGGTGTTGCCGAGTGCATCCACACTGCACTGATCGGAGAAGACCACCGTAATGTGGAATTCGTAGATCTTGGAGTCATTGTAGAAGGCCCATTGTTTGGTGCTAAAGTTCACGAGTCGAAAGAGAAGACCATTCCCCCGCTCCGTGCACTTTTTGATCTCATCGTATGGAAACATATCGCTGGGTTTGCCGTTTATGAAATCATCATCTTTGCCGGGGGCGGCGCCTCCCACACCGCCAGAGGCCGGCGGCACGGCTGCTGTGGAAGTCTGCGGGGTTCTCCCATCCGCAGCGGCTGCGTTATTATTATTATTATTATTATTATTATTATTATTATTATTATTA